TTTCTAAATCAGTGACAGTATGCGATCTGATCCAATGTCTTTGAAAAGTGTGGTTTCAGGATTGTCAGCTGAAACAGCAGCAGAACACAGGCCGTTGCAGGGGGAAGGGATGGGGAAGGAAGTGAGGAAAGAAAGGAGGAAGCCTGAAAAAGGAATGGGGAAGGCACAGGATGAAGGAAGGGGGCAAGACATAGGGGAATGAAGGGAAAAGGACAGAATAGCTGTGGAGCAGCCTAAAAAGCAGCAACAAGCTCTGGGAGGACTGTAGAGTGCCAGATTCTGTAGCGGGTGTGTATCTGTGTGTGTATGTTGTCATTACCTGCCTGGTTTGGGGTCGGGGCTGTTGTCGCTTCTGAGCTCCTGCAGTGAGAAGAGCTTGAGCAATCGGTGCCCATGCAGAACTGCAGGATGGGGGAGTGCTTGGTAAGGACAGCCCTGCAGCCCTCAGCTGGACGAACTTCTTCCGTGTGTCCAGACTGTGAGCTGTGCAGCCGTGCCTGGCTGCACCGCTCCAGCTCAGAGTCCGCTGCCTGAAGCTGCATCTTTGCTTCCTTCCCTACTGCCCAGAGCCTCGAAGCTGCTCCCACAGTCTCTACCCATCCCCAAAATGCCAGAGAAGACATCTGGCAGCGGGCTGGAGGAATCCCAGCAAACTGTTTTCCTTCTGCCCGCAGCTCTCTCCTCCTCTGCCACACAGGGCACCAGCCTGCAAACTGGGAATGGTCAGGAGGAAAGGGAGCGCTGGCAGGAGCGACTGCTGCGGCTGGCAGGGGGGGTCTGCGTCCCCCGTGCCCTTGTGGGCTATCTGTCCAGCTGCAGGAGGACCGGAGAAGGGCAGATGAAAAGCTGCAGCTGAGCCTGATGGACCTGCACAGCTCTCTGGCCGTCCTGCCGATGGCAGCTGTGACACATCGATTCTTTCTGTGCAAGTGAATTAATGTTTTCCATCTGTAAACTTAGGTGGAGAACTTCGTTAATCTCTGTGGAAACACTGTAATGGTCCACACAAATCTCAGAACTGCAGCTTTGTGCTGTGACTGCCTGTGTAGACCTGCTAGGGACTAAACTGCCCATTTTATAGCATTAAAAAGAATAAAAAGCCAAAAATAAAACCTGGAGTTGAAGAAAGGCCTTGGAAAAAAATACATTAAAATATGAACAAGGCAGAGGCTGAGCAAACATTAGTATAGCCCTGTGCTGTCTGCCAAAGTGCTTTATTTCGTTATCATTAAATTTGCTGGGCAGTTACATATTGGTACATGAACATTTAAAAACAATGCAATGGATGCTGGCAAAAAAGAAAAAAACACCTTTTTTTTTTTTTTTTTTTTTAAACAGATACTCATAAGCACAGCTTTCCAGGGTCTGGAGTCTGTTCCCTCTGTTGTCTTCGTCTTTTCCCCTTCCTTCTACCTTCGTGTTCTTCCCCGCCACCACAACACAGCACGGACCGCCACGGACGGCGCCGCGGGTCCCCGTCGATCCCGCCGGAGTTCTTCCCGCGGTCTCTGCTGCCACCTCGTGGCCAATGTGCGGAACTGCGCTGCCCGCTGCTCAGTCCCGCAAGCAGCAAAACGCACGCGCGCAGAAATGCGGAAGTGACGTTTTAACCGCTCTGCGCAGCTAATTCGCCGCTCTCTATGGTGATCGGTCCTCCAGGTAATAGCGGACACGCGCCCGACAACTTAAAGATAGCAATTGTTTCGACAGACCACTACGGGGACGGGCAAACAGTCGATTCTCGGACCGCCGGCCCAGCGATATTCTCCCCTTCTAATCACAAAATGTACATTATCATAAAATAATGATATTTGAGTTGGAAGGGACCCCTAAAGGTCGTCTGGTCCAACAATCTGGTTCCAATCCAGGATGCCCCTCGTCTATTTCCGCCGTTTTATGCCCGAGCCGCCCGGGAACGGACCGGTTCGGCTCACAGCTGCCCCTCAGCGCCTCGTGGCACCCAACTTCCTCACAGCTACGATGAAGTAGCACACAGCCCCTTCCACCCCCAGCCCTGCACCGTCCCCCAGCCGTTTAAAAGCCCTCTTAGCGACAGTGGAACGCGAGCAGCTCGGAAGTTCGCGATACCGGCGTGCAGCAGCACCGACACGGCAGCAACCCCACACCAAGTGCCGGGAAAGCAACACACGTGCGCCGAACTGGTCACTGCTTTACGCATGCGCCACTCCAGACACAGTACTGCGCATGCTCAAGCCTCTGCACCTCACTGCGCAAATGCAGCTCTCGAAACCGCGCTGCGCATGCCCCAGCCTCCGCACAGCAGTGCGCATGTGTCACTCTTGGCACTGCACTGCGCATGTGCTAGTATCGTCTCGGCACTACGCATGCGCCACTGTCGACACAGCATTACGCATGCCCGAGTCTCCACACCGCACTGCGCAAGCGCCACTCTCGGCACGGCATTACGCATGCGCCTGATTCAGCACTGCACTGCGCGTGCGCCTGAATATGCACTGCACTGCGCATGCGTCATTCACGGCACAGCACTGCGCATGCCCAAGCATTGGCGCAGCACCACGCAAGCGCCACTCTCGGCATCGCACTGCGCATGTGCAAGTCTCGAGAAGGAAGTACGCACGCGCCAGTCTTGCACTGCGCATGCGCTAGTTTCGGCACAGCACTGCGTATTAGGCAATCTCGGCACATCACTGCGCATGCGCCAGACCCGGTTCCGCAATGCGCATGCGCTTGTTCCTGCACGGCGCTGCGCATGCGCCCCTCGCGGCACAGCACTGCGCAGGTGCAAGTCTCGGCAAATCATTACGCATGCGCATATCTCTGCACTGTACTGCGCATGCGTTATTTTCGACTCATTACGCTTTCGATGGGCGCAGGGTGCCCTGGGAACCACAATAGTCTGTTCCAGAGGCTGGCTCGAGTGCAGGCTGCCCGAGGAAATAAACAAGGAGCACTGCGGATTGGAAGAAAGGAAAGTATTGCTAAGACAGCGGTCCAAGCATTGACTGCTCGCCCGCACCTTAAGGCGTTCTAGAAATTAATGTTATTTATAAGTTTCTTGGCGCATGCGCACTATTACCCGGAGGACTGACTATCACAAAGTTCGGTGGATTTGCTGCGCAGAGCGACGAGAACGTACGTGCGTCCCTTCCGCGTGCCACGGCGCATGCGCCTTGCTGCCTGCGGCACCAAACGTAGACGGCTGCAATTCCACCGATCGGCCACCAGGGGGCACCGGAGACCGCGGAAACAACAACTGCGGCCGGATTGACGCGGAGCCGCAGCGCAGCCTCTGGCGCTCCGTTCTCTTTCTCGCGGGGGCAGAGGAAAAACGCGAAGTTATGTAGAGGCTGAGGGGGGAGAAAATAACGTAAAACTAAAAAAAGGCGAAGAAAACCAAGGAAAGCTTCGACCAAACACCAAACGTGCGCTAAGTGCTTATAGAAGAGCTTTATACTCTGACAAGCTAATTGGTTTGCTAACTGATTCTTCTTCAGGATGAGAATGGAAAAAATCATCATAGCATTTACTGATATCAAAATAACTGATTGAAAATATTTTCTGTATTAAAGTTTAATTAGCTTAGCTCTTGTGAGCCTGAACTGCCTGAAAAAGAAATCCCCCAGAAGGCTGGATAAAGCCTTTTCACTATTACTGTCTTCTTTTCTGTGATGCCGTGGGAATAGTGGGAGCCATTGGTAATAGGTGAGCGGTTGGACTGGATGGAAAAGACCTTTTAGGTCTTGGTGATTCTATGATTCTATAATGCACATCTGCAGCCACGCCGTGCTACCTGGGAAGTGGCTGCGTTACGTCACAGTGACACTTAACGCAGTGGCAGCAAAGCTGTTACGTAGAGATGGCAATATAACCGTTTCAATTAGTTAGATAATTGCTTAGTTAAATTCTGCTCTAAAAAAAAATCCAGCCTCATGCATGTTCTGCTTAACAGAAGTAACTGGCACCAAAAATGCAGCAATGTTGTGCGAAGGCTCTGGAGTAAATCCAGCAGCAGAAGTTGAAGTTATTTTGCCTCAAGTGGAAAACCTGCAGGTGTATTAGCAGGACAAGTGCAAGGATTACAAAATAATGTCATCGACAGCAATGCCTTCTGTACCGAGGAGGAATTGTACTGGCAGTGCTGCTCCGCACGGCGCTCGGGAAAAGCTGCAGCTCAGGGCTTAGGGAAGCAGAAGTCACCTGAGGTGTAAGCAGGAACTTTCAGACACTTCATAGTGGTTTCAGTAGGAACCACAGGTGCCAGATAAAATCAGCAGGAATGAAATGTGGAGGTTGGTGGCCCTGCCTGCGGTGGGGGTCGGAGCTTCGTGATCCTTGGGGTTCCTTCCAACCCAAACCATTCTGTGATTCTGGGCATCCCGTTCCATTTTCCTCACGTCCTCACTGACATAGGATGCGTTGACACAGCACTTGTTTCATCAGCGGGTGAGTTTGGTCTTCAAAACATGAGATGTGTGTAAAAGTGACTGAATAAAATAATCTGGATATTTACATTTCACAGCAGCCCAGGCTGCCCAGGGCCCCATCCAACCTGGCCTCCAACACCTCCAGGGATGGACGGGGCACCCACAGCCTCTCTGGGCAGCTGTTCCAGCACCTCACCGCTCTCACAGCAAACAACTTCCCCCTCACATCCAACTGAAATCTCCCTCCCTCAATTCCAACCATTCCCTTGTCCTGCTGCCATCTCCCCTTCCCATGAGCTGACTCCCCTGCTGTCTGTAGGCTCCCTTCAGGTGCTGATAGGAAAGTGCTTGAGTAAATACTGGCATGTAATTCTGAAGGAGGAGCCTGGCTGCAGACGTAACTTTTCCTACAGTAAATCCTAAGAGGCAGCTGAAGCCTGTCAATGTAGTGGCCACAAAAAAAATCATATAAGCCAAACTGCCCTCGTGCTTCTGCTAACTTGAGTCCTGTAGGTAAGCAGGAGTGTCAGAGTCCTCGCAACGCAGCCATGAACAGAATCGGCTCTGAGAACCTCAGTCCCAGCTCTTGTGACCTCGCAGCATTTCATCACCATGGACGCACACGGCTTACAAACACAGCGGCTCGCAGCTCGGTGGCTGCAAGGAGATGCTGTCCGGAGAGCCAGGAGCAGCCAGAAGGGGCTACATGGCACCGCTGTGACGACCACGACAGCAGGAAAGGTTGGTGTTCGGGCGTTGTTCCCAAGGCGTTTTGTCTAATTGCAGCCTCAGCGTTTCTCAGTGCAGGTTTAGCCATTTCTCTGACGTTCGTGGAGCTCTGCGGTTCCCTTCCCATCAAACCACATCACCAGCTTTAACTCAGCTCTGCTGTTTGCCACTCTGCCACCCTGCAGCTCTTTGGAACCTGTTCCCCAAAACACCACAGCACAGATTCTTATGTTGCTTATGTCTCCCTATCCCTCCCCCGCTCCTCATACAGCTGCCACATTCCCAGCTTGGCCCCCGTTCTGCTGTTACTCCGACAAGAGATTTTTAACCAATATATTTCTTCTATTTTCTTCACCTATCTGCTCCAATTTTGCATACTTTCTTTAAAAGGGCCTACCAGTCCCAGCAGGATGCGATAAGTTTCATTTACAAATGTTCGTGAAAAACGTGAGTCTGATCAGACTTCTGGCTCCGCATCCTTGACATCCTTTTCCTCTTTGGAACAACTGAGAAATTCCGCATGCAGCGTACAGTTCACTCCTGTATTTCTGACTGTCTGTAACGTAACAATCGTTAATCTGTTTTCCTTCCCTCGGTATCTGCTGTGCACTGAGCTGTCCCGCACGCTGCAGGCACTCAGCAGTCTTAACACATAATGCTGAATGCTAAAAACCTCTGATGAAACGCCTGCTTAAAAAATAGCAAATTCTGTAACAGGACTGTGGGCTCACAGCCTGAATTTACATCCAAATAACCACACTGCCATTCACTGCTATCTCGACAATTCCCTCCATCACTGACGACACAAAAATTATGTCTAATTACTTGACGAATTACTGCTTCCCTGAGGAGCTCCCTGAGCCTTTTGCATTCCCATTCCATTACCCTCAGAGTTGCAAAGAGTCACAAAATGGCTGAGGTTGGCAGGACTCCTGGGGGTCACCTATTTCAACCCCTCGCTCAAGCAGGGACGCCCGGAGCAGGTTGCCCTTCAACGCTCAAACAGCTTTTGGGCAGCCCAAGGTTTACTGCAGAAGATTGCTCTGGCAAGCTGCAAGTTATTAGCTTCTATCTTTTGGCTGCTATCGTGCAAATACAAGAGGCAAGGCTTCAGCAGCTAGAATCATCCCTTCACAGAATGATCACAGACTCCTGCATGGCCTGGGCTGCAAAGGAGCACAGCGCTCATCAGTTCCAACCCCTGCTGTGTGCAGGTCACCAGCCAGCAGCCCAGGCTGCCCAGAGCCACATCCAGCCTGGCCTTGGATGCCTGCAGGGATGGGGCATCCACAGCCTCCTTGGGCAACCTGTTCCAGTGCCTCACCACCTCTGGGTGGAAAACTTCCTCCTCACATCCAACCCAAACCTGCCCTGGCTCAGTTTAATAATGATGAATTAAGGCTGACCTTTGTCTGTCATTTGCTCCAAGCACCCTGCTAGAGTACAGCCAGTGAGAGGAGGTTGTCAGCATAGAATCATAGAATTGTTCGGGCTGAAAAAGACCTCAAAGATCACCGAGTCCAACCACAGCCCAACCATCCTGCCCCAACTCTAACAGCCCTCTGCTAAATCACAGCCCTGAGCACCACATCCAGGTGGTTGTTAAACACAGCCAGGGGTGGTGACCCAACCACCTCCCTGGGCAGCCACTGCACTGCTCAGCAGCCCTTTCTGTAGAGAAGTTCTTCCTGATATCCAACCTAAACTCATGGGGTCCCCAGTCTGCATTATTGGGTCCCAGTCTGGGCTATGGGGTCCCCAGTCTGATTTAGGGAGTCCCATGGGGTCATCAGTCTTGGTTATGGGTTTCCAGTCTGAGTTAATGGGTCTCCAGTTTGGGATATATGTCTTCAGCCTGAGTTATGGACATCCCGGTCTGACTTACGGGGTCTCCAGTTCGGGATATGGGGGCCCCAGTCTGGGTATGGAGTCTCCGGTCTGGAGGAAAGCCAGCGTCGCTCCTGGCAAGGAGGATCTGGGAAACTGCAGGCCAGGCAGCTCACCTGGAAATGTGACAGAGGAACAATTTGTTCTGGATGCCATTCCAGCAACTGGAAGAGAAGAAGGTTATCAGGTGTAGTCAGCGAGGGTTTGCCAAGGGGAAATCATGCTCGAGTAGCCTTCGGTGATATCATCGCTGGCTGGGTGGACAGAGGCAGAGCAATGGATGTGACTTGGCTTCAGCAAGGTGTTTGACACCGTCGTCTCCCACTCCTGGTTATGAACTTAAGGAGTGCAGGACAGATGAGTGGATGCTGAGGTGGACGGAGAACTGGCGGACTGGCAGAGCTCAGAGGGTGGTGATCAGCCAGTCTGGTAGGATGCCTGTAACCAGCAGTGTGAAGTTCCTTACACAGAGCGGTGAGGTGCTGGAACAGCTGCCCAGAGAGGCTGTGGATGCCCCGTCCATCCCTGGAGGTGTTGGAGGCCAGGTTGGATGGGGCCCTGGGCAGCCTGGGCTGCTGTGAAATGTGGAGGTTGGTGGCCCTGCATTGGTGGGGGTCGGAGCCTCGTCATCCTTGGGTCCCTTCCAACCCAACCATCTGTGATTCTGTGAGTCGGTGTTTCCCAGGGTTCGGTGCTGATCAGGTCTCGTTCAACATGGACAAGCTGGAGGAAGGGACGATTCCACCCTTATGTGGCGATACAAAGCCGGGACGAGTGGCTGACACAGCGGTTGAAATCAGAAGGACATAAAATGGCACGGCTGGGGAGAAAAAGTCATGTTCATGTGTGCAGTACAAGTGCTTAATCAAAATGTATCATCTTCCATCCCATTGCAGTTCGTCAAAGGCTGATATCCCACCGTGGAACATGGCATCCAAGGCAAAACAGAGTAAACAGGACAGTGTTGGTGCCGGGAAAAATAAGGAAGTGAGAACAGGAAACAAGGAAGAATTACAAGGAATCAAAAGTGGAGATGCATCCAAAAGTGCCGTGGAAGCGCTTGTCAGAGAGAGGAATTCATACCTGCAGAAGGAATGCGAGGTCCTTGCAGAACACATGGACACGTACGTGCGAAGAGTGGAGCGTTTCCTGCGGGAGAATCGATTCCTCGAAGAGGAAGCCAAGCGGAATCGGAGGGAGAGTAACGTTTATCTCTCCTACCTGTCGAAACACAGCCAGAAGTGTCAGAACCTGCTGATAACACTGAGCGAGCAGAATGAAGCCGATCTGTCTCGGGTCCAGCAGCAGAAAGAGGAGCTCGTCTCACAGTACGCAGAAAAAGAAAAGCAGGTCAGAAACTGTCTGACGGAGATGGAGGCGAAGTATTCTCTTATGCGCGACGAGGTTGAAGACCTGCAGCCTTTCAAAGACCTGCAGCTGGAACAGACGAAGAAGATCAAAGAGCTGGAGAAGGAACTGCTGGTAACGAAGATCCGCCACTCGGAAGAAATGCACAAAATCAAGAGCAGGTTTCTGCAGGCCAAAGCCGATCGCGAGGAGGACTCTCGCCAGAAGATCCTGCTCCTCGCCAAGAGAGCGGAGGAGGCAGCAATACAGTCCCTAATGCAGCACATCCAAGAAGTGAAAGCTGAGAACCGCCGTCTGCGCCAGGAGCTGCTGGGGCTCATCCAGTGCTCGAAGGTCCTCAAGGAAGCCCAGGTTGAGCTGAGGGAGCAGCAGCAGCAGCTGCTTCGAGAGCGGCGGTGCAGCCAGGACATGGCGCGCGCACGGCGCAGGCTGCGCCAGCAGGAGGAAAGCGGGGCGCCCGCAGCTCTCACAGCCCCTTCAAACGCGGGTACCGGCATGAAGGAACACCCCTCTGCTCCTCGCCAGTGATGCTGTGTCAGCAGCCTTGCTGGGCATCGCCGGCTGCAGCCAGGTAGCCTCAGAAGCGGTCGGGGCGGCTGATGCTGTGTGAGGACGAAAGGAGGCACGGACGCAGCTGACGCCGCAGACTGTATTTATGGGCACCGTACAACGAACTGACGAAGGCCAACTCCTCCAGCAACTTCGATTTCCAAAATCTCAAATACAGCACAGACTTCATTGACTTTACCTTCTGCTAGACTGCAAAGGACAGAAAATAAATGAGCAAGCAACCAAACTCTTCAAACAATATATGCACTCGAGATATTTGATCTTTGGTCTTAACAATGAGTACCATACATTCATTTTAATCTTTGCTTTCTTTTCTTTTTTCCTTCAATCTTTGCTTTCTTTTATTTTTTTTCTTGCTGTAGTTTTTCACTTGAAAAGTAAGAGGCAGACAGGAATACCAGCCTGCTGTGTCATTCACATTTCAAGCTGAACACCTCTGGATTTTCTTTATCAAGAGTGACATCACAGAATCACAGAACGGCCAGGGGTGGACGGGACCCCAAGAATCACAAAGCTCCAACCTCCCTCCTGCATGTAGGGCCACCAAGCTCCATACTGACACTGCACCAGGCTGCCCAGGGCCCCATCCAACCTGGCCTCCAACACCTCCAGGGATGGACGGGGCATCCACAGCCTCTCTGGGCAGCTGTTCCAGCACCTCACCACTCTCACAGCAAACAACTTCCCCCTCACATCCAACTGAAATCTCCCTCCCTCAATTCCAACCATCCCCTCGTCCTGCTGCCATCTCCCCTTCCCAAGAGCTGACTCCCCTGCTGTCTGTAGGCTCCCTTCAGGTGCTGAAGGCTGCACTGATTCACCCCGCAGCTTCTCTTCTCCATGCTGAACGAGCCCAGCTCCCTCAGCCCGTCTTTGTACGGAGGTGCTGCAGCCCTGCTCATCTCCGTGCTCCTCTGGCCCCTCTCCAGCAGCTCCCTGTCCTTCCTGTCCTGGGACCCCCAGCCCTGGGTGCAGCGCTGCAGACAGGGCCTCACGAGAGCAGAGCAGAGCGGGACGCTCAGCTCCCTGTCCCTGCTGCCGCCCCGCTGCTGATGGAGCCCAGGACCCCGTTTGCTGTCTGAGCTGCCATCACAGCCTGCTGCCTCACGTTCAGCTTTTCACCCACTGGACCCCCAGGTCCTTCAGTGCAGGGCTGCTCTCCAGGACCGCTCCTCCCGCCGTGTGCATGCCTGGCATTCCTCCGGCCAAGTGCCCAACCTCGCACTCTGTTGTGTTGAACCTCATCAGGTTGACCCAGGCCCCCCTTTCCAGCCTGTGCAGGTCCCTCTGAATGGCATCCCTTCCTCCCACCGCTCAGCCACACCACTCAGCTTGGCGTCAGCAGCAAACTTGCTGATCCCTCAGTGCAAAACTTGGCGTTTTTCAGCACTGAACTGCATGAGAATCCTGAAGACCAATTTCTCCAGCCTGCCACAGCCTCCCAGGGGCAGCACAACCAGCAGTTGTAAGAATTGCAGTCCAGCCGTTTATCCAGGTAGTCAGTGTAGAAGGCAAACAGCAGTCATCCCTGCGCTGTCTGCTGGGTAAACCACTGCAGTGGGTGACCTCAGCTGCTCTTCCAGTCACTGTCGATACCTGTTTGTTTCCAGCAGCTGAGTTAGCAGTCCGTGTAACCATCTTACTAACAGCAGAAATACAAGCTAATTGGGATTGAGGCTAATAAATCAAATAAATGAGTTTCTGAAAATTGAGGTTCTTACTCTGGTCTCAGGGAGCAAAGGGAGCCCAGTGACCTCCAGTCATTTTTACCTTTCCTACCAACTGGATAATGGAAACAGAACAGCAGGCCAAAGGGGCTTCTAACAGCCTATTATTATGTATTCTGCAAGTTGATACTGACTGCGTGGAAGAATACAGGTCACAGCCTGAGGAGGTGAGAAGCCCCTGGGAAAGGGCTTGTATTAGCCTGGGAGCACAAGTAAACTGCCTCAAGCTTCTGCACGTAGCTGCAAGAAACTTCTTGTCACAAACTGCCCTGCAGCTGTACCTAAGTACCCTTGCTTTCTGTGGAGGACCTTCCTATCTTGATGAATGATGCCCCATTGTCTCCCACTGCTACACACACATCTATACATGGCCGTGGTCCTAAGGGGTGTGTGGGGCTCCTGCTGGCTGGCAGCCACTGGCATCTGCTGGAAAAACCCCAATGCAGACACTCTACCAGGCGGCTGCCACCAGTAGCTGGGACCTGGTGGAGACAGCCCTGGCTGGTCAACCCTGTTAAACTGATGTACGGTCACTCGCCTCCCCAGACTTTCTTTAGGAACCTGAAAAAAGCAATCAGTGCAGCTGGTTCAGGTGGTGTCACAAACCTCCAAGAAGCACGAGCACAAAACTGTTCATCCTGTCATTCTTTTCTGGTCAGACAAGATGATCTTCTGTTCAGTCAGTTCTTAACCAAGTACATGCGTCGTATTAAAAGGCTGCTAGGGGGTGACTTGGGCATGGCATACAGAGAGAGACAAAGCCAAATGTCACAGCAGTCATTTAGGGATGATCTGGTCTACACTTAGATCAGCTTGTCAGCACGGATGTTACGGGATCAGTGTCTGCCAGAGTAGTGGGTAGGAGGGACAGAGGTGCATTACAGGCATTTACATTAACAGCTGCTAGAGAGAGAAAGGAAGGAGGGGGGGGGAGAGAAAGGAAGGAAGGAAGGGGAAGGGAAGAGGGAGGAAGAGGGGGTAAGGGGGTGGGACAGAGGGATGAAGGGGGAGGGGAAGGGGAGGGGAAGGGCAAAGGGAAGGGGAAGGGGAAGGGGAAGGGGAAGGGGAAGGGGAAGGGGAAGGCAATGTGTTGGAAATATCCAAATAATTTTCCAGGACGGTATCTCTGATAAAGCAGATTTTATTTGCAATTGCAATGCCGGGCCTCCTGCAAGCAGGAGAGCACGCAGAAAACAGTGTTACATCTTTTATGCCCTGTTACTTGACACTTATCTCTTTCTCCCCTGGCTCCTCATTGGCTGAGAGCTGCAGGTTCACAATCTTCCCAATGCTCAACTAAACATATGGACACTGGATAAACGTCAATTGTTGCTAGCTAAGCATATATCACTAATTAGTTAAGTTCTCTCACTTGCTCATTCAACACTTGGTCATTGTTTCTGCACATCTGCTCGTCCTTACATGGAGATAAGCTTGGAAGGAGGACAGGAGGAGTATCTTGATCCCTGCCTGTTGCATCCCAACCCACCCGCAGAGCACGGCAATCCAGCCTTGTGTGGAGGCCCCGGCCTCTTTGATGTTCGTTAAGTCTGTTTTTCTCTTGCTGAGGGCCTCTTCTCCAAACAGAACAGCCCCACAATGTGCCTTCTGGTCCACAATACTGTACCTATACTATTTGGAACATTTAAAAACTACTGCAGTTTTGCAAGCAAGAATTAATCACACAATTCAGCAACTACATTCCAAGTATTTTACTAACATATGTGGTACTTCTACTTTTTCACATCAGCTATTTCCAAGGAGTTACCAAATACAAGCACACTGTGCTCTGCTTCTTCAGAGCAACTTCCCCTTTTTAGTGTCTAAAGCAGGAACAACAACAAGGAAGGAGGGAAGGAAGTGGGGAAGGAAGGAAGGGGGGGAAGAGAAAAGAAGGAAGGGGGGGAAGAGAAAGGAAAGAGAAAGGAGGGAAGGGGGAAAAAAGAAAGGGGAAAAGAACAGAGCACAGCGCACTGCGATACGCGCGCTTTGATGACGTCACAGCGCCCCCGCCGATCCCGGCGCACAGCGCACCGCCCGCGGCACGGCCGTGTCGCCCTGTGCGCATGCGCGGCGCGGCGCGTCCGTTTCCATGGCGACGGAGAGGCGCCGCGATGAGCGAAGCGGAGCTGGACGCGGCCGTGGCGGGGAAGTACGAAATGAAGAGGCGGCTGGGAAAGGGGGTGAGCGGATGGGGAGCGGGGAGCCGCTTCGGGTCTTTGCCTCCGGTCGTGGTTCCGCCCTGCCGCCTTCCTCTGAGCGCGGGCGGCAGAGCGAGCCGAGCTGCTGAAAAGCGGGCATTGAAGCGCTGCTAAAGCGAGCGGAAGGGCGAAAGTCAGAGGTAACCGCTCCACGGCTGCCGCTACTGTGGGCCCCTGTGGCACCCTATGGGTCCCTATGGCACTGCTATGGGTCCCTATGGCACTGCTATGGGTCCCTATGGCACTGCTTTGTGTCCCTATGGCACTGCTTTGTGTCTCTATTGCACCATATGGATCCCTATGGCACTGCTTTGTGTCCCTATGGCACCCTATGGATCCCTATGGCACCCCATGGATCCCTATGGCACGTCTTTGGATCCATATGGCACCGCTATGGGTCCCTATGGCACCCTGTGGATCCCTATGGCTCTGCTATGGTTCTCTATGGCACCCTATGGATCCCTATGTCACTGCTATGGGTTCCTAAGGCACCCTATGGATCCCTATGGCACTGCTTTGTGTCCCTATGGCACCCTATGGATCCCTATGGCACTGCTATGAGTCCCTATGGCACCCTATGGATCCCTATGGCACGCTATGGGTCCCTATGGCACTGCTTTGTGTCCCTATGGCACCCTGTGGATCCCTATGGCACTGCTATGGGTCCCTATGGCACCCTATGGATCCCTATAGCACTGCTATGGGTCCCTATGGCGCTGCTATGCATCCCTATGGCACCTTATGGATCTCTGTGGCACTGCTATGGATCCTATGGCATCCTGTGGGTTCTTATGGCACTGCTATGTGTCCCTATGGCATCTTATGGGTCCCTATGGCACCCTGTGGATCCCTATGGCACTGTTATCACACAATCACAGAATCACAAATGGTTGGGTTGGAAGGGACCCAAGGATGACAAGGCTCCGACCCCCACCAATGCAGGGCCACCAACCTCCACATTTCACAGCAGCCCAGGCTGCCCAGGGCCC